TTCCTGCTGTACTTTGCCTCAGGCTTTTTTCTTTGATGTACAGGACTGGTTTTTAATTTTTTTTTCAGCTGATTAAAAATAACAGAAAGCAGGCATTCAATATGGAATCACCAAGACACTTAAATTCTCCTCAAAACCTCTCCAGTGCATTTTGGCATCATTTATGCCTGTGCAACACAGAGTAGCTCAGAGCTCCCTGAGGTGGCAGATGACAGACCTGTTTAGATCTGTGCTCCCAGACCCACCCATCAGCACAAGAATCTTAAAGAGAGCTGATAGGCTGGACCCCAGTTGAGAGCTTTATACAGCAAAAAATCTGCCAGGTAAATCCATACTCTCGTCTTTTAAAGGATTCAGGGTAAGAAAATTTAAGCTCAGGTGTAAACACTTGCACACTGAGGTTTATTTTTTCTATCTATGCACTTGAAATGAACACTGAAAGGGCAAAACCATCCTAATCCTATCATGGCTATGCCTTTCTCTGCTTCCTAAAGATGAGATTATCACCTCATTGGTTGTCACCCACCATCTGAGAGAAGCACTTCACTTCATTTTCCTGTGTAATCACAGCACAGGATTTTATCTCCGTGGTTACTGGAATGGAAAATGACCAAAGCCTGTTCTCTGTTTTGCCCCTTTTAAGTTGCTTACAGACCTGGATGCGGCAAGCTTCAAAACACCTCAACTGCAGTAAGAAGGCTAAACTGATGCTCACTGTAAGGTTCAAGCAACCTGTTTGTTAGCAGCCCTTCTCAACAAAGGCAGGAAAATTTCAAGTTTTAAATTTCTATTCAAGTTAAGGCAATGAAGACTGAAGGTCACAAAACTGTTGCCATTGCTTTCCAGCACATAAAATTAACAATTTGTGCTGCTGCGTGCAACTTTCAGTCAAAGTTTGTCTGATTTATAAGCAAGCAGATGGTTCACACGATAGTCCACAATAAATTAACAACAGTTAGAAAGACAGCTACATTTTGAGAGTGACAGTGCAGCTGAGCTACAGATGGGTTTATAGATGACCCTTCCAATTTTTAATAATCTCCATAATTTATGTGCAAGTAAATAAATGCAAGGATTCCTAATGCACCTTCTTGACTAAGTACAAATCACTTTTATTTACACAGGCAATACTTCATGGTCCAGTTAACTTCTTAATTAAAGGCAGCAAGATGTTCTTGTTCCATGCAAGCGGCATGGAAAATACTGTTTAGTGTGCAATATGTTCAGCTGGGAATTTAAGATGCTCTGAACACTCCTGGAAAAGGGAATGCATCTATCTCGTTTCTTTAAAACAAGACTACAAGGGTGCAACCACTGCTACCACCAGTTACTATTCATTAATCTCCAGATACACTTTAGGCTCATGCAGTAACAAGGTTGTTTATGTGCAAGCTCTGATGCTTAGAAATAGGCTCCTAATCCAGGAGGCACTACACACACAGTATTACTGAGCCAGGAGAAGGATGGGGAGACAACAGGAACAGAGATCCTTGTTATATGAAGACAGAGGGATTGGGGGGGGATCGTTCCTGAATGGGTGAGGGAAAAGGGAAGCAAGCCTTGGGAGTTTCATTCCGGAAACAGGAAACAGCAGTGACGGGGAAAGAAACAGGCTGGAAGCAGCTTTAAGAAGCCAGTCCATGCCAGTGATTTTAATGGCCACTTTTCCAGCATGGGACCAAACCACCTCGGTCCAATCCTTCTGCTAACATTTATGAAATGACTCCCAGAAAGATGTCTTTGTTGGGCTGTCATCAGTTGCATGCCACGATACAACAGATACAGTTTCTCCTGGTTGCAATTTCAGCTGCAATGAGTTACCTTCCAAAAGGAACACAGCTAAATGCAACTACTCTGATCAGAAGGTGATGAAGGGAGTGGTACCTGCTACAGCTCTTTAAGGCACAAACTACAGAAACTTGGAGGCTGCAACACAGTCAGTCTCTTAGGATGACGCTTGAGAGTACTTCCTCCTCTCTAAACCTTGGTCTCCTTCTCCTGGCAAATTAATTTGGAAAAGAAATCCAGTTTTAAGTGGAAATCCAAACCTGTCTTTAAACCAGAAGGCACAGCTCCTAGGAAAGCAAGTCTGCGTGTCATTTTAATGACCATCTTCCTGGGAAGAAGAAGAGGCATCAGTGACAAATTCAAGCTTCCAAGAACTATCATAATTCATGTTTTGGAGATATTTTGGCAGGAATTCGCCAGCTCTGCCCACAGCAGGGCAGCGTGGGGAGCAGCACTGCAGAGAAACATGAGTGGGAAGACCCATTCCACTGCAGCCGCTCACACAAAAAGTGGTTCTTCCCTTGTCATTTCCACGCAGCACCAATGTTCCTTCATCTACTACACAGAACAGTAGTCTTCTATAAATAACCGTGTCTGAAAGTCTTTCGGAGTTTTATATAAAACCATTATGTATTACTGTACACAACTCTCGGGTTGTTTAACTAAACATATGAAAAATATTATATGTCAGCTTATTTCTGGGATGCTCTTTACCGTTATTTGTCATCTTGTTTCTGTTACACTTTGCATATTTAAAGCCTCATTATGCACTTCTGAAGACCCAGAGACGATTACTATGGAATTACTATGGATGTTCATCTGTACTACTGAGTGCTGGGTTTGACACTGTATTTTAGCAATATTCATCAAGTTCAGGAACTGCTCACACACTTCTCTCCGAGAGAATACTGGGCTATACTACTGTTCTTTAAAAAAACATAGCGTTGATTATTTAATAAAATTCTTAAATATTCCGTAACTATCATTCTTTGACTGACTGCAACCCTTTCATTTGCTTACAAGAGGCCAAATTCACATGCACGATCTTTTGAGGTGCCTTCCAACCCCTAGCATTCTATGAAAACAGAAGTTGATTGAAATCAGTAGGATTGCCCCTGTTGCCTCCAGCCCAATAGCAATTCCAGTGTTAGTGTGAGCAAGCTGAAAGCCAGCATAAGCTATTCTAGTTTAACTCCACTGATAAGTCAGAGAAATTATACACAGGGCTTATGTAACCATATAGTTAATATATTTTCCAGCACTCATCTACTGAAGCCAGCAGGGATGCTCCAGCTCACCAAGCTGTGGATCAGACCTTCTGGCTGCAACTAGCTCCTTCTCTGTCCAACAGCAAAAATAAACCTGGAGGAGGAATAAAGCAAGGAACACACATATGGGCCTTCCCTTCTACTTCTTGTTCCTTGAATTCATTACACTGTGTGGAAATTAGCTTTATAACCTCAAGAAGGAGACATCTTTTGTCCCCCCGCCGTATTAAAATGTAGATCAATGTGATAATACAAAACCAGTGAACTCTCCAGTAGCAAGAAGTGGCTCTCAGTTCTCTTAGCAATCAAATATTATCTCCAGTAATCGACCTACATAAAAAGAAACATAAGTAGCAATTTGTCAGTATATTTATCAAACTGACTGCTAGACCTTTCCCACAGATTTTGCACTATGAAGCGTATGACACGTAAGGTTTTGCGGTTCTGTTTTAATTCAGGGATGAAAATATTTATGGATATGAATGTTTTCTCATTAACTTTCTTCCTAAATAATTATTCTTGTTCAAATCAATTCCTAGACATCTTCAGAGGTTACAACCTTCAACAACTAAATTGGATACTTTACTGGCTGTTTTGCTGATTATGCTACAAGTTCCAATTTCTACACCAGCACTGAAATGCTGAGATAATAGGATGTTAACTTTATTTAATTAGCTATGTGCCACGTTATCAAAACGGAAGATCGGTATCTGATTCAAAGTAACACTTTGGATCAGGAAAAAGACAAGATGACATCTGAGAAGGATCCTGGAAACTCCCTATAGTTGTTTCAGTTATTTTAAAGCTGCTCAGGACAACCAGGATTGCATTAGAAACAGCAAAAGTCACTGACAGTCAATTAAGTGCTGTTATGAAAATGTTGTTTCAATCACTTTTTTTTCTTTTCTCATTTTCAGTTGTCAACATCCTTGCCACTTTTCTCAGGCTGTCCCACCTAGCAGCACTGCATTTTAACTGCACATAATTTTAAAACACAACGTGAGATAGGACTGAGTACATAATATGGGTTTATTGTGACAGCCAACAACAGATCAAGCCCTTGCGCAAAGGCATCAGCTCTCTGCTCTCTGGGGAGTAACAAGTTAAACACGAGATGGACTTCACAACCATCTGCTATCCTCTACCTCAGAAATCCCAGGTCTGTCAGTTGAGTGTTGTTCATGATTTATCTCAAAAGGACACAAGAAGACAACACAAAACCTCAGAGGTCCTGGAAGCATTTTAACTGTGGCTCACACAAACTAGACCCACATATATCAACTTTGCAGCTGTCCAGAGGATACAGTACCTAGATGAATTCCTCAAAGGACTTTCGCTGCCTCACTCCCCAAATTACATTGGTATAGAGCAGCCAGAGTAATTTATCCAATAACCACATCAGCCTCCCACTGCATGGGTTCTTACTGTTAGGGCTACAGAAACAAACTTTTTTCTTTTCTGACAACTTACTGGTCTTGACCGGATTTCTTTGGCGTAGAGAGGTTTCAGGAATTCTGAATCTCCTTCAAGCTTTAGACCCTTTTCCGTGATTCTTAGGTTCCCCATTCCATCCTAAAACACAGACAAAAAGAAAAATACCCATTAGTTACAACTGTTAAATTCACCAGGCTGCCAATAGCCAATTTATTTTTTTCTAGAGGATAACATGTAAAGCACTAGGAGGCACTACAGAATGCAATTACTCGTGTTATCCTTTTAGCTCTGTTTCTGTGGAAAAAAATATTCTATTCAGAACAATCTGCAATGCCCTCCAGTAAACCATTTACACAGATGAAAGACGTTTTAAGTTAGTCATCTCTACTCAAAGAGATGCAGCGATGCTCTGTTAACAGGAAACCATTCACTGCAATATTCACTGACAGCCTGTATATTAATGTAGCTTCTCATTCACAGCAAATCCATATAAAGACGACATGATTAATTCTACTGAACTCCATGTAGAGAATATGTGATTAATTCCACTAAACTGATAAAATAAGGTTTGGCTATGTAAGAGTACCTGCATGCTGCTCTCCTGTCTTGGGCTAACTCCTGACTTTTCTCTCCTATGATGATGAGTTCAGCATTGGAGCCCTCACTCTGCTCCCTGCACAGCCCAAGCACATCCCAGCAATCTGAACCTCTGTATCTAAACGCTGGGGCCTCCTGAGTCATTCCTGTGCCCTTCAAACAAACAACACAAAGTCCATTGGCCGTAGTGACTCCATGGCACCTCATCATGAAATTTAGGGACTCACCGAGAGGGACTGGGCTGCCGCCTTCTCAAGTGCTTCTAGGCATGTCCTTAAACACTGAAGTCTAAATCCTAAGAGCCACCTCAGCACCTAACTCATGACTATTTCAGGGATTTTAGAGAAGAAAAAAGATGCAGAGACCAGGAAAATCCAGGAAAACCATGAGTATTTGGATATATCTTGCACATTTTCTAATCTAGCTGCAAAACTAAACCACATCTGCCCACTTCTTTCTATTGCATGTACACCTCCAGCACTGCAAGAGGAATCATTGTCACTAAAGGTGACCGGCGAACCCAAACAGATTTGCATGAACTACTGCCAGCAGGCATGAATTCAGAGGGATAAAAATCAAAGACAGAGCATGGCTTAGCAGAGACGCCGGTCACTTGCCAGAGGTACTCCCGTTCCAAGAAGTATCATTCCCAGGGTGTACCCTGCCAAGGAAAGATCGCTCCTGCCAGTGCATTGTGTCTCTTATGAACAAAGGCAGGCTCAGCAGTGCTGGACAATAAAATGACCACTGTCGTCTCATTTTGAAATGAAAGATGCAAGCAAACTTTAAACAGAGACACATGCCAAAAATGATACTGATTGTTGAAGGGAGGGGAATGAGAGATGGGTCATAAACTGTTGCTTGCTACATTCCTTGTCCTGGCTGTAATATTGGCTTATGAATTCTGGGTTGGTGGTGGCACAGGAGAGGTTCATTATTTCAAGCAGAAGGATGAAGGAAAATGAGTGAAATGATTATGCATTAAAGAGGCCAGCTTAAATTTTGATAGTGGCATGCTCTGTGATTTGAGCAAGCAGAAATTATCACAGCTATCTGTAGACCCTCACATGTTCTGTGCTGCTAAAAATCCACTGCATTTTCTTTCACAGACATTTCAGTAAGGTTATAAGCCCTGAGAGCTTTCACATTGAAGGGTCTTCTCTGGTTTCATTAAGAAAAGTTTTGAGTCATGCAAGCTGGTAATACAGTTCACATATAGCTGCAAGAACGACGAGCTCTGTGAGCACTTCCAGTGCTCGTTGCTGGGCTGAACTGGGGCAATACTCTATGTGAAACATGGACCAATGGATAAAGGCTCTTTAAGGCTCACAACTACATTCTATCCTGAGTAGAGATACAGATCCAGCACGGCACTCTGCTCCTCTCTTAGAGTGCTTCTTTCTCCATCCCCAAGTGTCTCCCACAGGTTTTTGATGTATGAAAAACACATATTTGGACATTTAGCTCACAGCCAGCAGGTCCTATACGTCCCAAAAGAGACAATATACTACCACAAAACATCAAGAATGCATTTGATTTATATCATATAAGCATCCATATTCCCTTAGGAGACGAATGGGCTGGAGAAAAATAGGCACCTTCCCATGTTATTCTTCTCAACCTCCAACCCTCACTCACCTTTCTCTCCTCCTGTGGCTGCCAAAACTAATAAATCTGCACCCACCAGACATTATTTCTTGACTCCTGTAACTGGGGCACCAGCAGGGAGCTCCAGCTGTCTGCTGGCTACCACTGGCACTAGTGGGTGTTCTCCCCATGCTTTTTCCTGCACTTGCATATCTTTTCAGTTTTCAGGGGAAAAAACTGTTGGCAAGGTTTGTCTCTCCATGGCAGGTAAGGATTTAGTTTTCCTATTAGGAATAAGCTGCAGTTATGTTCGGCAATGTCCTGTGGGAGAGAATTATCTTTGGAGACTGCTCATGTCAGATGGCTGAAACACCTGATTATCGTTGCTTGTATTATTGATCGCTTCGCTCTGCATCGCTTCCAGATACGTGCAAGTTATTACACAGCTCAATACATCCAAAGTTAGGGGGAAAAAAAAGCAAATGCAAGTGAGACTTTTTTTTTCCTTCCCTTACTGGGAAGATTTCTGTGCTGACATTAAACGTTTCCAGATTCCACAGATTCAAGGAAGGTCTGTGCAAATTCACACTATTGCCAGTACTTCGCAGCCTCACATACCTACTGCTCTATTAGGATCTGCCCTTCCTCTCTCTCCTCACTTTCTTCTGTTAATTTGTTATCTCAATAAAGATCCCAGCATCCAGCTGTGGATCAGCAGCGATATTTTCCTATGGAAGCCAGGAGAGCTTAAACACCAGCAGCACCAGTCCAAAGTTAAAGCTGGTTACACAGCACAGTCCAGAGCAACACACACTCCAAAGTACGGAGACACTGTGTGACAGCTTCTTCCTCTGACTGTGCTTTGAGATCTCCCATACAGACTTCGTTTGTGCTGACAGCAGAGAAAAACAAGCCAGCGTTGTGTTACGCAGCACGTATGATTGTGCCCCTGTACGCACGGATACAGGCTGATGCTTTGAATTGCACTGTGAGGTCTCATGCCCACAACTGGACAATGCACCCCTCTCTTCTTCTGCCTGCTTACTGACCTCAGATGTCCCTCTCAGACGTGTTACTGGTAGAGTTTTCATTTACAGATGATAGGCACAGCGTAGGATAGCTGTGCTGAGATATCGGTGGGTGAAGGAAGGTGATCCCGAGTGCCTTGTACCACTGTGGGATGGTATGTATGTCCTCTCCAGGGAAGAAGGGAGAGGCAGATGAAGCACAGCTAAAATCTTTGCAGCTAACCGGTGCACTAGAACAACTTTATAAATCTCAAGACTAGGAAGCAGCCAATTCGCTGCTCCATCCAGAAGCTCATGACAGTCTGTGAGAAGACACCTCAATATAATCTCTGGCAGTTCAGTAATCGGTCACAGGGAGATGTGGAGCTGAATAAGTAAAGAACAGCTCTGGCAGCTACCCACTGGAAAATGACCTCTAGAAGCTGCTCTTCAAGTTGTACAAGCTATGTAGGCACTACGGGCTCCTCCCACAGGTGTGAAGTCATTTCTGATAGCTACAGAAAAGTCAAGTGGCTGCTAACTTAAAAAGGAACTATGTGTAAGTGGAGAAAATTGCCTGCAGATGATTATGGTTAATGTAAAATTCAGCCTGAATCAAGCCTATGCAAAGCTCAGAGCCCGTTTTTTTTTCAAGTGGGAACTCCCATTTTCCTGAGTTCCTCTGCATGAGTGCAGAAAAAGAGGCAGAAGATGAGAAGAGGGATACAACGATGAGAGCACAAGAGTTGAGAGAACATCTCACAATTACAGCAATGAGCTATGATGCAGAAAATGTTGATATTGTTCCCATCAGACTCACATGCCACAATGGCATTAGGGATATCTTCCACGTGCATGTTCCCCTAGCATCCTTCCCTCTATCTGTACCTTCCACACTGACCAAGTGCTCCCCAGAGCCAATGCCATTTATTATGAAGATTACTCCAAGAGTCCTATGAAGCTGTCATTGAAGGGAAAAGAAACTTATAAAGTGGCTTTAGTGAAAGTTAAGGAAAACAGCCTTAAGAAGCAGGAAGAACAGGATCACATGGTTTCCCAATTATCCTTTCAAGTAAGTTGCAACTGACCAAAGCAATTAATCCCATCCACTGAAACAATTCCGAATTAGTGTTGGAATAGTTTCCAAGCAAATCATTCAGCCAGACCTTGAAGAAAGCTCAAGACTGGATTTACTGCATGTTGCTAGAACTACTTTGGGCACGAGGTATTTCTTTTCAAAGCAAACTGATAGTGATCATGTGTGGCACAACAAATCCAGGATTTCTATGAAATAAGCTACTCCATTCGAGAGCACATTTCTGCAGGGAAAAAGATTAGCAGACCTTTTGGGGAAATGATTATGAATCCCAACATTGCTACTACAACACAACCATCATATGCAGAATTCCTCTCTAGGGTACTAATTTCCCCATCCACTGGTACAGCAGGGAAGAGATCGAAATTTGCCTTTCACGCCTCCCAACTCCCTGTTATGGAGCACTTTGGCACCAAAGCATTACAAAATGAGCCATATTCTCTTTAACATATTTCCGCTTTTTTGCTCCAATACAGACAGTAAGGTTTCACATCTTATTATCAATATACATTCCAAATGTGTCCTTTGAATCCTCCATCTTTTTTTGTCTAGCTCATTTCCACAATTATGCTAACTAGACGGGAAAAGTCCCATCCTGCAGAAATTTGTGTGCTATAAGAAGTGCAGAAATGATTCTTATACTCGCAGGAACAAGTACTCTTATAATGCAGCAATTTTGTAATAAAATCAGCACCTAAATTCATTGTACTGTTCAAGGAGTTTCAGAAACAGGTTTGGTAAATCATGGTCTAATACTCCTGAATTATCACAGCCTGTCAATCACTGAATGAAGGAAAAAATAAACACCACTCTTTTTTAAACTACCAAGATCCTGGACACAACATCCCCTG